TGGTGTGGGTGATAGTGGCTACAGACTGGCCAGAGAGGCCCCAGACAGCGACAGGGGAGGAGAGGGGAATGGCAGGGATGCCCCAGCTCTTGGCCGTGCTACAGTCCAGAAAGCTGGCCTCGGCACCGGAATCAACCAGAGCCTTGCAGGAGTGGACAGAGTCTTGGTACGTGATGGTAGCAGAGAGTTGGGTGCGTGACTGAGGGGAGATTAGAGGAGAAACGCCCACCAGGACTCCCCGTCTGACTAGTGGGCCTTGGCTTTTACAGGACACAACCGAGCAAAGTGGCCCGACCTCCCACAGTAGAGGCATAGACCCTGGACCAGCCTCTGTTGTCTTTCTTGAGCCGACAATCGAAGCCGCCCCAACTGCATGGGCTCAGGTTCAGCCAGAGAGGAAAGAGGTGGTGAGTGGCTCTTCAAAGGCTGGGGTTCCTCCAGCCCCCAGGACGAGCGGGGAGCCAAGCGTCGCTGACGCAAGCGAAGGCGGCTCTCAACTCGAGTAGCCAGATTGATAAAGCCCTCCAGGTCTTGGGGTAGATCGTGGGCAGCAATCTCATCCTGGATTTCGAAGTTCAACCCCTCCCGAACTTCCCGAAACAGCACCCCCTCATTCCAGTCGCAGGAAGCAGCTAATGTTTTAAACTGAATGGCATATTCGGCATATTCAGGGCCTCCTTGACGGAGCCGCACTAGTGTGGATGCTGCCTCATCTCCCCTAACAGAGCGATCAAACAGCTTTGTCATCTCACCGCGAAACTCCTCAAAATCCGTGAAAAGTGGGCTCTAGCGTCCCAAACGGCAGTCCCCCACTCGCGAGCCTTTCCCGTCAGCAGTGTAATGACATAGGCAACCTTTAACCATTCTGTAGCATATCGGCGTGGTTGCAGCGCGAACACCAGTGAACACTGAGATAAGAATGCCCGACATGAATTCGGATCTCCATCGTATAAGGGCGGGTTGTTGGCATGCGGCTCGGGTTCGCGGTGAGAAGGAGACAGGGGAACCGCTGTCGCGGAGGATGACAGAACGTCCTGCTGGAGTTCACGGAAGCGGCTG